GAGCGGGATGAAATACTCATCCTGGGATGAAAGGCTGCCGGGCCTGGGCTGGGCTAGTAAACCGCCCCACCCTCGCTGGGAGGACCTCTGGGCACCCGTGTAAACTGAGTCATGGGGGGCGCGGGGGTGATTCATGCAGCCGATGAGTGGGAGCCAGATGGGACAGAATTTGCCTGCCGGGGGCCCTTGGCCATGCCTCATGGAGTCTCAGCTCTCCTCCAATACCCAGCAGGCCTCAGCAGGGCCTGGAGGCTGAACTCCGAGTGTGCATGCGTGCGCCTGTGTGTGCGTGCCTGAGAGCGTGTGGCGTCTACGGGAGGGGCAGGCAGGAAAGGGAGGTTCTGGGAGGAAAGGATTAAGTTTGGAAAGGAGTCAAAGCCCTAGAGAAGAAAATCTTGGCGGGAATGCTTCGCTGCCCTCTCCTGGCCTCTGCAGGTTCAGCCGATTCCTGGCCTCCCCCGGGAGCCAGCTTTCTCCCTGTGGCCTGGGAGGAGCTAGGACCCTGGGTCTTCCAGGGTTCCGGGGGCCAGAGCTGCTCAGGATGGGGCCAGAGCTCCCTGCCGCCGCGGTGTGTACACGCGCTCTTGGGGGCTGTGCTGTTGGCTGGGGCGTTTCTAGCCTTGACCACGGCCAAGTTACTTAACCTCTTTCTGCTGCAGTTTCCTTCTCAGTAACAGGAGGGCTGTGAGGACCAGAATGAGAACCAACTGCTTACAGTAGTGCCTGGTGCAGAGGAGGTTTGTGTATGTATTTGCTCTTACTATCTGAGCCTCCGTTTTCTCATCTAAAAAATGGGTGAGGGCCCTTGTCCAGCCACCACTCTGGTTCCCGTCTCCGGTGTTATCCCTGGGGAAGCTGCCCCTATGCCCCGCCACCCTTCCCAACTCTGTCCCTCTGCCTGGCCTGGGGTGTTTTCATGCCCTGTCATCAAGGAAAGATGGGCTCGATGGGTTTCTGGGCCGGGTGCCCTCAGGTTACCCCTCAGTGTATGGGGGATGCATGTCAGAGAAGTGGGGAGTTTCCCTTCTTGGATGAATCAGCTGTGTGACCCAAACCTCCGTCCCTGCCAGGGCCCCTCCCAGCAGGCAGGACTGGGGTGCAATAGCCCTGCTGGGAAAATCCCTAAAACCTTGCCAAAGCTCTGGCTGAATGAAGCTTTCTCCTGAGTCAGTGCCCAGTCCCAGCTGGGATGGGGAGTCAGACAGAGATTCTCCCCATTCCCTGGCCAGCCCCGTTTGACCCTCTTCCCTGAGACTTGGGGGTTCGCAGTGCCTGCGAGAGAAGGTGGAGTGTGTGTGTGTGGGGGTTCCTCTCTCTGGCCTCAGTCATCCTTCCTGTGGTTTTATAAAAGGGAGCAGAGCCCTGGCTGGTTTGGCTCAGTGGATAGAGCATCGGCCTGCCATCTGAAAGGTCCCAGGTTCGATTCCGGTCAAGGGCATGTACCTTAGTTGCAGGCACATACCCAGTGGGGAGTGTGTAGGAGGCAGCTGACCGATGTTTCTAACTCTCTATCCCTCTCCCTTCCTCTCTGTAAAAAATCAAAATATATTTTTTTAAAAAATAAATAAATAAAATAAAAGGGAACAGAGCACAGGGGCTTGTCCAAATTCACCCAGCCTATCCCACCCTGGACTGGGCTACTTCCTTACCCCCATGTTAGAAGGGGCCGGCCAAACAGGACAGGATGCTGCCAGCTTGAGGGGGTGGGCCATGGGGAGCCCTTGGCCTGGTAGGGCAGCAATCTCCATAATAAGCCTGGGAGATCCTTCCTGCCAAGGTCGGCTTAGTCAGTGTATTCTGTGGGCCTCAGTTTTACCAGTAGAAAATGGAAATCTTGACCCTAACTGGTTTGGCTCAGTGGACAGAGCATCGGCCTGCGGACTGAAAGGTCCTGGGTTCAATTCTGGTCAAGGGCACATGCCTGGGCCGAAACTGGTTTGGCTCTGGATAGAGCGTTGGCTTGCAGACTGAAAGGTCCCAGGTTCGATTCCGGTCAAGGGCATGTACCTGGGTTGCAGGCACATCCCCAGTGGGAGATGTGCAGGAGGGAGCTGATCGATGTTTCTCTCTCATCGATGTTTCTAACTCTCTATCTCTCTCCCTTCTTCTCTGTAAAAAAAATCAATAAAATATATTAAAAAAAAAAAAGGCGCATGCCTGGGTTGTGGACTCAATGCCCAGTGGGGGGCGTGCAGGAGGCAGCCAATCAGTGATTCTCTCTCATCACTGATGTTTCTCTCTCTCCCCCACTCCTTCCTCTCTGAAATATATAATCTTGGTCTTAGCCCAGCCTCCCTTTCAGGTGGTTCTGAGGACCCAACCCGTGTGCTTTACAAATTAGAGCCAAGTCTTTGCTGGGTCTTATAGAGCGGGCTCAACAACGCATCAGGCACTCTGGAGTTGGCAGAGTACCTGCTTCATACCTTGGCCCTGCCATTTATGGCTTTGTAACCTTGAACCAATTACTGAACCTCTCTAGGCCTCAGTTTTCTCTTCTGCAAAATAGCAATAACAATAGAGACAGGTGAGGCTTAGATGAGCTAATGCATGTAAACTCAGTACAGTGCCTGGTTCATGTTATGAAGAGAATGAGGAAACTGCCCAGACACAGAAGTAACTTTCATTCAATCGCTCGTTTATTCAATAATGTTGATTTGGCACTTGTGGGAGGCCAAGTTCCTGTGCTGGACAGAGGCCACTCCGAGGGATAAAGTGCAGCCACTGTTTTTGAGGGGCCCCAGACACACAAAGAGCCCCAGGTGGGGGTGTGTGTGTTCTGGGAGCCTGAAGTGCAGATGGATGGGGGAGGAGAAACCTGAGAAAACGAGCTTGTGGATCTGAGAAGTGGAGTCAGCCAGGAAAGCAGGCGAGGGGCAGGCCCACCAAGCAGAGCGGACAGCTTGTGAGCAAAAACACAGAAGTGAGGCCAGAATGTGCGCAAGAAAACCGGAGGCAGCTCATGATTCTGGAACAAGAGGGTGAAGCAGGGAGTGGAGAGATGGGGCTAGAGCGACTGGCAGGGGCTGGATTTGGGCTGTACACGCATCCATTCAGTTAACCCATTGTACACCATAAGCGTCTGTAGATGCAGGCATAGGACCTTCCCCACAAGCCACGCGCGTCTATAAAAGAATTGTTTTTCCCCTAAGTGGCAGCCCTGACCAACTTTAAAATCATTTTTCGTGATAATTTTCCGCTGAAAATATTCAAGAACACCCAAATTGTGAGTAACATTTATTTTTATAATATTCATTGCAAATTGATTTTTAAAATTAAATTCAAAATATCATGGTGCATGGGGATGGTTTCTGTTTGGACACGTGGTAGTTAACTGGTTAATAATGTATGGAGAGGTTGTTCTAGCCAAGCACTGTGCTAGGCTCTGGGGATAAGGCTGAGATTTAGACATTGCTCCTGCCTTCACTGAGCCCACATCCTGGTCATGTGGCCTAGGGGTCAGTGGGAGATAGACATTAATCAAGTGATTACATAAGTAACCTCTCCATCCTTGCTGCACGACAGGCATTCAGGCGGCAGGAACAGCCGGAAGCTCAGGGCTGTGTGCCAGGTGGGGAAAGAAGTGCCAGTTGGCTCCAGCGGGTGAGCATGGACAGAAAGAGGCACCCAAGGGAAGCTTGGTGGTGGTGGTGGGGATTAGGTTGTGGCTGGCTCAGGAGTGTAGACTCCGTATTACAGGCTGGGGAGCCACAGAAGGGCTTTGAGTAGGAGAGGGACACAGGTAGCTCTGCAGGAGAGCTGGCTGTGGCAGGACAGAGGGAGAAGTGGGAGTGGACAGGGCAGAGGCGGCAAGTTGCAATGGTTTGGGAGGAATGGGCTAAAGCAGGACCATGAGGGTGGAAAAGGGATGAGGGTGTGAAATCCTGTTACAGGAGAACCAGTGTTGATACTACTTGTCGTCTTTGTGGGACCCCTGAGGGCCTGGCCAGGATTCCCACCAGCCTTGGCCCACGTTGGTCAAGTGCAAAGCACTGACGGTCTGAGAGGCAGGGCACCAGGCTCCAATATGTGGACCACCAGCTCTGGGGACTTCCCAGGGCTGGGCTGAGGGGGACTCAGACCTGGGGAGGCTGGGGGTGAGGAGGAAGCTGGGGAGGGGGCCAAGGCAGCATCTCATGACTCATCCACTTCCACCCAGTCAGCCCAGTGGCATCTCCGCTCCCCTGCTCCAAATTCCGATTTGGTGAGGATGCTGGAGGCTGAGTCAGCTCCGGCACGAGAGCAGTGTCCCAAGGGGTTTGCTGCTAGACACCCTGGCCTCCAACCAAAGCCAAGGCCAGACTCAGGCTACAACAGCCTCAGCCCAGCAGGATCATGTGAGTGAGGGTGAAGAGCTCACTGTGGGGGAGGCAGGGACTGCCCTGACTGAGGAAGTAGGGACGGGGTACACGTCCTAGCTCTGCCTGGCTCACTGCATGGCCTGAGGGCACTCCCTTGCCCTCTCGGCTTCAATTTCCTTGACCAGATTAGTGCCAACATCTCCTTCTAAACAGGCTGTGAGTGAAATAATGCACATAGAACTGCTTTGCAAACTGTCCAGGCCCCCGTGACGGTCAGGGTGGTGGAGAGCTGAGGATAAATGGGTTTCCAGGGACGCGTAGGGCTGTGCAGGCTGTTCTCTGCACAAGGATGTCCGGCCCATCCTCTGTTCACCAGACCATGTGATCTGACCTAGAGCTGCCAGGACCACGAACGAGGGTACTTTCCCTCACAGGCACACACACCACCCGTGTTTATGGGAAACCAATGAGACGGATTCTGACTCTTGGGATGGAAGCAGGG